CATGAAATGTATAAGCATGAAATACATGGAAGTTTTCTGAAACAAGCATGCTAAAGGCATAAAAGAATGGTGGGTTACTTAGACCAGTAGAAAGAGTTCTGTGTTTGGTTAACGTTAATTGATGATGATTAGGTCACAAATGTCTAAATAGAATGTACATATACTGCTCGAAATATTTATTAGCAAACGATTTTCCTCTTATTTTTTTTCGTTTCTTTTTTCAAGAAGAAAGAAGTTTATTTCAGGTAGTTTAGATATTACGTCAGTGGCTCTCAACCTGCTGGAGGGGGTAGAAGAATTTCAAGGAAGATTCAAGTTTTTTATGAAATAAATGAATAAGTAAATAAAAAAAGTATAGGATAGGCATAATAGACTTACTTCCTTACTGTGTAATCCTCAGAAATTCTGTCATAATATGTTTATATTTTGATAGTTTGAAGGGAAAAAAAAGAAAACAGATTTGAAATTTTATTGTTTACTCTTGGCTTACCTGAACTCACTTTTTTCTATACTATAATATACTAATAATGGTAAATCAGTTGTAATCTATGTGGTTACAAAACAGGGTCAGCCTAAATTATTCATTCAGTTTCAAAGGATTATTTATTTACGTGTAAAACTTACAAAGTTGCGTTACACATGGAAAGATACATTTACTAAGTTTCTATCATGAAATAAAAAAGTTCAGTGTAAACGATGCACACACACACACAAAAGAATCATCCTGAACTTCTTTGATCTAATGATTGGATCTTCACATTCTAGGTCTTGATCTTAACGGTTCGAGAGGGTGAACTCAAATATGCAAACTAATTAGTGCGTATCATATTTCAAGTTACGGACACAAAGTTAGACATAAAACGTACTTTCTATGAATAATATAGCTTTATTTCAACGGATTTGGATTTCTGATTTCAAAAGCCGCAATCTGGGAAATGTAGTCCCTATAGTATGTTGAGGAGAGTGGTCCAAAGCTCGAACTCCTTAATGTTAATTTTATTTTTTTGCGTATTTTTCCATAATAGTATACATAAAATGTTATTTATACAGAATTTTTTAAACTGCCACATATCATATTTGCATCATCATCTATTTTAGCGACAGCGATACCTATATATAGAGTGGCAAGGACAAAATAAAAAAATGTTTTAAAAGTGTTTTACAATTTTTTTTAGCATATATATATGTTTTTAGAAATTTTGGCATATGTCCTTTGACTTGATATTAATATCCAAGTTCTCGTTTGAACAAAAGAACTATTAAAAAAATAATTAAATTGTCCGTCAAATGACCCTCTCAAACTCAACCACTAATAATAATTAGAAAATCAAAAGAGAGCAATGCCTATATTCAAAAGCCTATATTCAAAATAGACAAAAGTAGACATTAAATTTAGGCTACGCAGAATTTTTTTTACCCACCTTAAATCATATTTGCATCATAATCTCTTTTAGAGGCTCCTGTGCTTATTATATAGAGTGACAAGGACAAGATAAAAACTATTTTAAAAAAGCTTTACTAGCATATGTATATGCTTTTATAAATTTTGACATGCATCCTTTGACTTGATACTAATATCCAAGTCCTCTTTTGAACCAAAATATTGCAAAAAAATAATTAAATTGTCCTCCAAATGACCCCCTCAACTGCAACTATTAATAATAATTAGAAATCACTGCCTGTAACTAAAATAGACAATAGTGTAGATTAAATGGTGATTACACAGAATTCTTTAAATTGCCTAATATCATATTTGTATCATCATCGATTTTAGCGCACCTGGGCTGCAGGTGGCGTTGAGCAGAACTCTCTACCTATGGCAACACTTCGCATGCATTCACCATTAGCGTTTGGAGAGTCATAGAGGAAGGAAGTACGTTAGTTTCTGTCTTGATTTTCATGCAGATTAAAATCTTTTGATTTTTAAAACTATATGGAATTGAAAACTACATTAAACATAGTTCTAAAGGAAAGTATCATTTAAATTTTAAAAAATATTTTAATTAAATAAAAAGGAAAAATATTAAGAAATGGGAAACTATCCAAGTACATTACTATACCACTGAAAAGAGGAGGAGAGGGAAGGAAGAAGGGCCAAAGGCATGAAACCGGTTTCTCCCCAGATGGCGTATTCGAGATTAGAAATTTTATTATTGCGTATTAGAAATTTTGACAACTGTCCTTTGACTTGGTATTAATATCAAATTTCTCTTATGAACCAAAAAATTCTAAAAAATCTTTAAAGTGATTGAACCTCACAAATCGTCAATTGAACCTCACAAACGTAGCTATTAATAATAGTTAGAAAAAAAAGTGAGTAATGCCTATAACTAAAACAAACAATAGTGTAGATTAAATGGGGACTACACAGAATTTTTTAAATTGCCTGATATCAGATTTGTATCCTAATCGACTTTAGCGACGCCTATTTTAACTATATAGAGTGACAAGGACAAAATAAATTTTTTTAAAAGTATTTAAAAAATTATTCTTTTGAACTAGAAATTTATAAAAAATCAGTAAAGTGTACCTCGAATGACCCCCTCAAATGAGCTTTTATTGATAATTAGCAAGCAAAGGAGAGCTATGCCCATATTCCAAACAGACATTCAATGTTGACCACACAAAATATTTTTTACCCGCCTCCAATCGTATTTGCATCATCATCTATTTTAGCGGCACATCTGCTAACTATTATAGAGTGACAAGGAAAAAGATAAATTTTTTTTAAAAACTGTTTTACAAATATACAAATGACCGTGTCAAATGCAGCTATTAATGGTAATTAGAAAGCAAATAAGAACAATGCCTATAATTGAAGTAGACAACAATATACATTAAATGCAGGCTACACAAATTTTTTTAACCCACCTCATATCATTTTTGCATCATCATCAATTTTAGCGACAATTGTGCTAACTATATAGAGTGACAATAAAATAAAACTTTATTTCAAACTGCTTTATAAATATTTTTTAGCATAGCTTTCAGAAATTTTTACATCTATCCTTTGACTTGGTATTTATATCATTTATTTACAAATATGTTTTAGCATAAGAATATATTTTTTAGAAATTTTGACAACTATCCTTTGACTTGGTATTAATATCAAATTTCTCTTATGAGCCAAAAAATTATAGAAAATCTTTAAAGTCTCCGCCAAATGACTCTGACAAACGCAGCAATTAATACTAGTTGGAAAGCAAATGAGAACAATGCATATAACTAAAATAGACTATATTATAGGTTAAATTGTGACTATGCAGAATTTTTTAAATTGCAACATATCATATATGTTTCATCATCGATTTTAGCCACACCTGTGTTAACTATATAAAGTGACAAGGACAAAATAGAAAAATTTTTAAAAATGTTTTTCAAATATGTCTTGGCAGTAGAATATATTTTTAGAAATCGTGACACCTATCCTTTGACTTAGTATTAATATCCAATTTCTCTTGTTTACCAAAAAATTATAAAAAAATCCTTCAAGTATAAAATTGCAAAAAAGCCTTGAAAGGCCGGCCAAATGACCACTCAAATGCAGCTGTTAATAATAACTAAAAAGAAAAGAAGAACAATGCCTATAACCGAAATAGACAATAGGTGATCACAACGGCCGAATACGCCATCTGGGGAGAAAATCAGTTCCATGCCTTTGACCCTTCCCCCTTCCTTCTCCTCCTTTTTTCAGTTGTATAGGAATGTACTACGATATTTTTTCATTTTCTTAATATTTTTTTGCATTTAATTGTTAAAAATATTTTTTTTAATTTCCATGACGCTTTCTTTTAGAGCTATGTTTAATGCAGTTGATAGTTCTATTTAGTTTCCTAACTTAAAAGAATTTATTCTAGTTGAAAATTAAAATAGAAACTAACATACTTCCTTCTTCCATGACTCTCCACACGCTAATAGTTAAGGCACGCGAAGTGTTGCTATAGATAGAGAGTTCTGCTCTACGCCACCTGTATCCCATTTCGACCGTTAATAGTATACATTAAAAGCAGGCTACACTGAATTTTATAAATCGCTTCTTATCATATTTGCATCATCATCATAGATTTTAGCTGCTCCTGTTTTAACGTTCACTTTCACCGTGCCTTCAGCTCTCGGTTATTCAAAAATTTGTCTTCTTTGTTTGTGATTATTCATCTTTTTGCGGAGTTAAAGAAGAATTTGTTGAAAGCTGCACCCACTTTGAATGCTGTTACATGTTTCCACGTTGAAAATTTTTTTCCCCACATTGAAAGCTGCTCTCACGTGTTACTACATTCAAATTCGTTCCCACGTTGAAAGTTGTTCAGCACAAAAAACCATTTTTGCTAACCTGAAACCGCAATATTGTTTCACATTTTTGCATTTTCAGTTTTCATTTCACTCACTCTGAATCCTTGACTGACAAGAGCAAAATTCTTCAATTTTGGCTCTCCTTTTTTTTGTATTTGAAATGCTCACAACAGTTCGGAAAAAAAATTTATTGAATTTCTTATACACAAATCCTTTGATTTTACATACATTAATGCACATTGCCTGTTTGGCCTACATATTTTTTTGGTTCTCAAATCCAATGGTTCATTCCAAACCATTGGTATTTCACAAGTCCTTTGCAATGGTTCATCACAAACCATTGGTATTTCACAAGTCTTTTACAATGGTTCATCACAAAACATTGGCATTTCACTGGTGCTTTGCAAAGGCTTATCACAAGTCATTGGCATGTTGCAAGTATCTCGGAAAGGTTCATCACAAATTATTAGCACGTTAACAGCCTCTTCCATCGGTGTTTCAACAGATTCTTCAGTCAGTTTTTCACAAGCCTCTTCCAACTCTTTAATGATTTGTACTAACGGCTCAGCCTCCGTTTCCCTTCATGTCAAATCATGTCATGTTTTCTAAATCATTTGAAATCTCCAAATCATTTCTTCAAAGTCATTTTCAGAAACAAACTCGAGTGGATCTTCTGAATCACTCACCACACTCATGTCCAATTTAGTCTCTTAACTCGGAAAAACAACCTCTGGCATTTGCAATCGAGGCTGCTTTTGCTCAGGTGGTTGAACAAACACATATACTTGCTGCACACATGCATACTTCACGTTGCAAAAACACAAACTCTGCTGTGGTGGCTCCGGTTGAAAAAACACTTGCTCTTGCACAGGTTGAGATGGTATAAACACATGTTGTTGTTGAGGGGGCTCAGGTGGTTGTACAAACACAAACTCTTGCTGAGGGGGTTCAGGTAGTTGCAAACGCACGAACTTTTGCTGAGGTGGTTCAGGTGGTTGCACACGCACAAACTCTTGCTGAGGTGGTTCAGGTGACAAAATCACTTGCTGTTGCACAGGTTCAGGACACGTACGTACATGCTCATGCTGGTCAGGAGGAAAGAATCGTGACTTTTTCCGAGTGGTTCATCTGACATCATGTGAGCAGGCGTCGGTGGTGGCAAGTTGTAACATTTCTTCTGAAATATTTTGTGCGCAGCAGTATAGTCCATGGCATTCAGTACTGGGTAAAATTATTTGACAAGGTCCAGAGAAAACATTTTTTTTTGCGTAGCCATGACAACATACCAGACGCATTCTGTAATCATGTAACACTGCCAGGGTTGAAAGGCATAGAGATCATCGAGAAATTGATCTGTTGCTTTAGATTTCTCTCTCCTCACAGTGAATGTGTGCAGTGAGCTTTTGGCTCGAGTCTGACAGCACAATTATTTGCACGGGATCATCGGTAGTCAGGTAAACGAGCTTTGTACCTTCATTCACTGTCCATAAACCAAAGGTAAATCCTTGTTTCACGATAAACAGGTTGCCATGGCGAAAACCCAAACGTTGTTTTAAAATTTTCAACAGCCTGTCTGGACTTTTGGCGAGTTTCTTGGTCAGTTTATCCCAACGAATAACCTTGGGATCACATTGTCTCGATTCTGCCACACACCTCAAAAAGTTTTGCAACAGTTATTTTTTGTCGATTCATTGATTATCCATCATTGTAAAAGATATTCTGAAGTATTTCTGTTCCTAATGGGCAATGAATGCGAGCACCTCTCCCATGCGTATAGCATGCTCGTACGATACCAAATTTTCATCCAATTTCAACGCATTCACTGAACTGAACAAGACAAACTATCTGGTAAAACATCCATGGCTCTATAGATTGTGTTGTTACAGAGTCGAAACTGAATGTCACTCTCTCAAAGCCTCTGATTTTATCGCCGAAAACCAGGAAATGCATCCGGTTGCGTGGGAGCGTGGGTGATTCAAGAAATTTCCATTGCATCAGCAGGATGTTTTCAAGGACAGCTCTTGGGTCACATTCATCAGCAAGTTTGATCAACACGACAAAAGATTGCTCAAGGAAATGCAATTCCTTGAAATTTCCATTTCGTCAGCAGGATATTTTCACGGTATTGTAACACGTACAGTTGTAACAAGCTTGATCAATAGGAAACAATGAAAAAAATTTCCCTCTCCAACAAACTTGACAAGCTTGACCAACTCGAAACACAATAAAAAAATTTCCAGCTCGGAAAAAAAATTTCAGATCCAACAACAAGCAATGCAACTCGATTTAATTAATGAATAAAAAATTTCCAGTTCCAACAAATTCAGGGAATGAGTTGAGAGATGTTGAACTCGGACACGGTTAAGACAAAAATGTAAAAAAAATTACAGTGTTGTATGATGATCAACTTGTCTTGGATTGTCTCGAGCTCTTCGAGAAATTTTTCAATACACGATTTTTTCCCAGTCCTGTCATTCTCAACAGGGGCGTACGCAAGAGGGAGATAGAGGTTTCCAGTTGATGTAAAATTCTCCCCTTGAGCTCAGACAAAATGGCAAAAATAAAAATTTTAGTAGATATTATGCGGGCTATTATTTTTTAAGACTATTATATTTTTATTCGCCATATAACTACTTTTTTTCTCATGGTATTTCGCAGAATACTGAAAAAACATTTACTATAATAGGGTTGTACTTTTGAAACCAAATTCGTGTGATACTGTTACGGGCGAGCCCCGATCGGTGGTTCCTTTCTGTCCGCGATAGTTTGCGAGACTGGCTGGCATTCTTTACGCGATGATTCTGAAATCCTTGGCGTTCTGTCCTCTTTGAGACAAATCGAGAATTTTGGAGATGCTGTGAAAAATTATATAAAAGGGGGAACGGAGTGAGATAGTCAGAATAAGAGTTAACTCCCGCTTGTTTTTCGGAGCTCGACGCTAAATCTGTTTTGTTTTGTCTTAACAAAAATTCCATTCAAGAAATCAAGAAATCAGTAACAAAACCATTGGAGATACTTTGCTTATAGAAGTTATTCATTCCAGCTCGAAACTTTGATATCGTTGCACAGCGGATATTTCTGTGCCAATATATATATATATATATAATAAATAAATAAATAAATACAAGAAAACACGAAGAAAGTTAAGAAAAACAATAAGTTTCATTTATTGCGCATAAGCTGCAAGTAAACAGAACTCATTAGATAAGTTCAAAAAGAAGATGAGGCAAAGAAAAATTATAGACCTATGAAAAAAAAAGGGGGGGGGGAAATAATAAGTAAAAAATAACAAACAAGAGTTTAAAAAAAAAAAAGGATAAAATTTTATTTAAAAAAACCGGAAAAAAATATATGATCTTTTCATCAGCCCACACGATTATATCCGCAAAAAAGAGTGCTTTCTTATATTGTATCAATATAGCCAAAGCGAAATATATTAATACAATAGTGTGAGGAGCACTCAAAAAATCACGACTAGTACCAATGTAAGTTTTTCTGTTGAACAGAAATGTGATACTTCAGTTGAAGAAAACGTTTCTAGCGTGACAAAATCTGATGAATGTGAAAGTGGCCCTCAAAGTGTTACTTCCCACCCATATGCCATTGGACTTTTTTCAGAAGATAGTACATACGAGGATAAAACAATGGATATACTAAAAAATGTTTGGTAACCCAATCCAGCATTTGTTTTTGCCGAAAAAGGAAAAATTTCAGTACAAATGGCTTTATCGCTGAAAATGGCTTGCATATTCAGAAGTTAAGGGTGGTGCTTTTTGCAAATTTTGTGTACTTTTCGTCTCAAGTGGTGCCGGGTCTGGCAAATAACCTTTAGGCCAACTGTACAACGTAAAATTTGACAACTAGAAAAAAGCAGTAGAGCGATTTTCTGAACACGAGAAATGTCTTTATCACAAAAAATGGATCGAAACTGCTAGGACATTAAACGATATTTTACTTGGAAAGATGAAACCTGTGGATGAACAAGTTGACAGTGCAGCAAGCAGAAGAAAATCAGAAAAAAACATTACTCCAATCATTGAAACCATCCTATTTTGTGGAAATCAAGGTCTCACTCTAAGAGGACATAAGGATTCGGGGATAATTGCTAAACAACCAGGTGAAGAGAACAACGGAAATTTTCGGGCATTGCTTCGTTTCCGAAGTAAGAATGATTCGACTCTTAAGAACATTTTAGAGTCAAGCAGTCTACCAGCCTTCGATTTCAGAACGAAGTTATTGAGGTTTGTAATATTTTAATCCAGCAAAAACTAGTCAGCAAGATTAATGATGCAACTTGCTTTTCCATACTTGCAGATGAAACAACTGATACTGCGGGTATAGAGCAATTATCGTTATGCGTTCGATGTGTCGATAAAGAAAATTTTTACATCAACGAGCAGTTTTCGCAATTCACTCCAGTGCACGACTTAATCGGAAAAGGAATAGCAACAACAATATTAGACCAATTACAGTCTATGAAAGTTGATATAAAAAAGTTACGTTGACAGGGGTACGATGGTGCTGCATCAATGAGTGAAAAAATAAATGGGGTACAAGCCCAAGTAAGAAGTATTGTCCCATCAGCACTCTATGTGCATTGCTCTGCTCATAGCCTCAATTTGGCCGTATCAAATGGGAGCGAAATAACTGGCATTAGAAATTGCTTAGGGACAATTTAAACATTATACGACTTTTTAAATACGCCAAAAAGACAGTATGTCCTATCTTCAGCAATAGAGGAGATGAAAACCAGCTCTAAGTGGGAGAAAATTAAACAGCTATGTGCAACCCGTTGGATGGAAAGATACGACTCAGTAACCGCTGTGGTGGAACTTTTCGAGCCTATCGTTGAAACTCAAAATTTACGCTCAAAATTTTGATACCTGTAAAGAAAGCCTTAAGTCTGAACTAAAACTCTAGTCTAAAAGATTAAAAAGGATTAGTGAAGATGGAGGTAGTGTTCCGAAAACTGCGACGGATGCTCTTGGAATGTGCAATAAATATATAACACCAAACATTTTCAAACTCCTAGAAATATTGGTCGTTCTACCTGTTTCAACGAGTGCAAACGAAAGATCCTTTTCGACTTTAGGTCGTTAAAGACTTATTTACGCAATTCAACGGGTAATAATTGAATGAATGGATTGGCACTCTTTAACATTCATAGAAAATTTATCCCAGCTGTAGAAGACATTTTAAACGAACTTACAAAAAAAATCCTGTCGTTTGGATATTACTGTATAAATCAAAAATTTTTAGCGTGTTTGTATACTGGTTTAATTGCCTATTTGTTCGTAAGTTATTTTTTCTTATTTTTTGGTCAAATTCATTAGTTTTCCATAGAATATTCACATTTATACGGTTATTATTTAGGTAGCTGTTACATTATGAGTAGTTTTTTCTGGCTTGATTAATTCCTACTTTTTAATAACAATAAAATATTTTACCTCTTATTATTAAAAAAAAATTATGTTCTTAAACTTAAGAAATCAAATCAAAATTTAACTAAACAATGTTGTCTAAATAAAAAGTCAAAATTGTCTAGCTGTCTAAATTAGGGAAATAATAGTGCTTTATTACATACTCGAATTTCTCTTAGTAGTTTCAGAAAATTATGACCCCCCCCCCTGAAACAATTCTGCGTACGCCACTGATTCTCAATATAAACTTCAGTGTATCCAAACCCAATGGATCTGGGAGCATGACCAGCCCAATGGATCTTGGAGTATCCCAACCTAATAGATCTTGAAGCCTCCCAATGGATTTCAGGGTAACGCTAGAGTTTAAGTCCTCTCGAAAAATCATCACGATTATCTAGAGATCACGATTATCTAGAGATTACGATTATCGAGAGAGAGGGAGTTGTGAGACAGTCATAAGTTGTGAGGCTTCTTTAATGGATCGGGCTTGGAAAATTTTTTAGGAGCTGTAGCCAGTAAGACTTGACGTTTGCACAAACTCACAACGTAACAAAAAGAATTGCCAGCAGACTCGACGCTTGCATTAAACCAGCAATGTCAAAAAAAATATCTTTTATAGTGTTATGGTTTTTGTCGTGAGGATGGCTCCAGGAAATTTTTTCCGAATCAAGATTTTCTTCAGCCAAATTTTTTTCATGACCCGAGTTGCATGATGACACGACAAAAAAGTTGGTGTTATGAGATAAACTGCTTGGATTGAAATTATTTTTAATTGACGACCTCTTAACATCATCTTTTTAATTTCCAAATGTTTTGCGTCCAACAATTTCTTACTCGCATCCAGATTGGCAAGACACTGAAGCACTTTTTGTTTTACCTGTTCCACATCATAATACTCTTTGTACTCCTGACGGCACTGAAATAACCATTCTTTATCCATGTTTACCATGTCATTGGAACGATTCAAATTTTCATTCTCGGGCATAGCTTGTAAAATTTCATTAGCAGTAGCTTGAGACATTACATGAGCCACTTGATCATCAGCAGCGAAAGTCGTTTGAAAAGTTTCATCATCAGCATCCTGAGTCATTGCATGAGCTGAATGTCACCAGCAGCCACAGTCTTTGAAAAGTTTCATCAGCATTGGATGCATGAGCATCTTGAAAAGTTTCATTATCACAACAAAAAAAAAATTTTTTTTCTTTTTTACATTGCTGGTTCCCTTATTAAAATTTAAGGTATATTTAAGGTTGATTTGAGGTATTTTTGAGGTATTAAGGTTGTTTTGAGGTATATTTGAGGTATATTTAAGGTTGCAGAGAAAATAGCAATAAAAATTATACCTCGTAAAGGTTGTAATTAAAGTGTACGAGGTTGATTTATATATACTTCAGCTTGTTTTGAGGTTGTTTAAAATTCACTTCAAATCAACCAGACTGATAAGGAGATTTTTAAGGTATACCAGGTTTATTTTTTTACACTTGTAACAAAAGAGGTATTTTTGAGGTATAAAAATTTTTACCTTATTTCAACTAACGATAAAAAGGTATTTATTGAGGTATATGAAGTCATTTTATTTATACCTAAG